TGTATGGTATATACCATAACTTAAAAGAAATATGATTTCTTTAGGTATGTTGGAACCAAGTAGCTATTCTTTTAAGGCTGAAAATAGTTGTATTAAAGTAACTAAAGGCTCTTTAATTGTAATGAACGGAGTTAGAAATAATGGTCTATATTCACTAATCGAAGGAACTGTAATTGGTAACTTTTCTAATGTTATTCAATCTGAAAGTAACATGCTCACAAAGGTTCTAGCTGCTGCTAAGTTCAGATATTGTCTGGACTTAATGGACTCTACTAAAGTTTAATAGCCCGTTGTGGCTGAGAAGATGGAATCATCATCATGCAATTTTGTAATTGAGAGTCAAGGTGGAGAATTATTGCGATGACTCACAATTCTTGGACTAAGGCAATGTTATAAGTGTAATTCTAACAACTGTTGTTAAAGAAGGAAATGAGGCTTCTTATTGGTTAATCGATCTACTTGGGGAAGGCTCGTTAGTTATAAATAATGAGGGATGCACGTTGAGAGGGTTGAAGAGGAATGAAAATAGTTTGTTAGAATGAGATAAGGAGAGATTTTATGAAACTGAGGAGAAGATCTTGGGAATCTTGTATCGGGTTGATGAGAGAGAGAGAGTATGGCAAGAAAGCTCATCTCTCAATGATAATGTTGTGTAACCTTGTTGATTGCCTTAGTGAATTAATGTTTTTTCCCTTCCCGTGGATGTACTTCTTATGGATCGAACCACGTAATCCTTGGTGTTCTTGGTTGCATGCTTGTTTTCTTGTTCTGTGTCATTTAAGCTAGTATTTGGTTCTTTGTGTTGCTCTTGGTTAGTTTCTATTATAGGGTGATTGGTAGATACATCAACATAAACTAAAATTTAAAAAAAAAAAAATCTAATTTGAAGTACAGAGTATAATCCACTTTACCAATTGAGAACAAACGATAATGCTCAAGTTTCTTCTCCCTAAGGCTTTATACAAAGTTCTTGATCTGTTACACATTTATTTTGTAGCTATTTTTTTCAACTCTACATGATTAAATTTTGTCTCACCAGACTAACAATACGGCCCCCAATTATGTTGGTAATTAAGAGATTATGTTACCTTCTTATTTGGACTATATGCATAAAATATTAAAAATAATTTCATAGTAGGCAAGTCAACAAAGATTTTATAAATGGGAAATTTACATGCATATCACACAATTCTCCAGCTTGTACGTATCTAACACCTAGAGTTTGATATCTGCACTCATAACAATTTGGTTGCATAAAATTACGACGAAAATATTTACTTTTTCTTTTAACAGGTTAAAAATAGATGTATTTTTTGTAATGTTTAAAATTTGATTGTTATGTATTTAAATATTAAAGCTTAAGCATTAAATATGTAAATACTTAAGAATTGTGTGGTCTGTATGTAAAATGCTTTTTTTTTAAATTAGTTGCTAAAAATGTTGGATGACAATATTCTAAATTATAACTTTAATGTGCTTATATTTAGTTATTAAAAATATATTGTTGAATCCAGATTGTTTGATCGATCACATCTAAGAAATAGAACGTAGTGACTGATGAAGACATAGGAGAGAGAGAGAGAGAGAGAGAGAGACTAACCTTGTAGGTGTGAATAAAGTGTTTCTGGGTCTATTAGACCCATTTTATTTCACTGAATATAGTGACTGAATAAAGTGTTTCTCGGGCTATTAGACCCATTTTATTTCACTGAATATAGTGACTATGAGAGACAGGAACCAAAAGCCCCCAATACATGTTATAGTTCTCCTATATAAAGAAGATAAAAAGGAAAAAAAAATACCTTATTAACCTTGCTTTTAAAGAGAGTTGTAGGTTTTTCTAGTCTTTTATTTGGACTGTTAGATCATCTCGAGATTCACGCAGATTATTTTTTGGGTGTCTATATTAAATTCTTCAATTTTCTTGATCCTTGATAGCAACAACTGTAATAAGAACAAGAAAATTTTGAGAACAAAAAACATTATCACATGAATCAGTAATGATAATCCCTGTTTAGGCACTTTTTGTGCTCCGTTCTAATATGTTTTAGGTTATCTTGCAAGCTCCAAAGCATTTTTCTCTGAATTGACTCTTTGATCGATACTACGGATCAACTTGTTTGATTTTGTCACTTCGAGTACTTTTTTATTATTCTGCTTTTTAATTTTTAAGTATAGCAAACATTTATAAAGAAGTTTTTTTTTGTAAGAAAACCCTTTATAAGGAAGCTCTTTGTAACTTTTCATATATGAAAAGAAGTGTTGAAGTTTTCGGTCTGTTAGACATTTTACCTTTACCACGCAATTTGTTTGCTAAAGTAGCTTGTGATAATATTGGTGTTGGTTGATGACTGGAATCTTCATAAAGATCGCGGACTTGCCTCCCACCTACAACATCATTTTTGGCCACCCGTTGCTAAATCGCTTTGGAGTTATGGTGTTCACCTACCACGTTACAATTAGGTTTCCAAGAGAAGGAAAAGTGATCAGTATTAAGGGAGACTTAGAGCATTTGTGAGTCTTCTACCTCAGCAGTTTGAAGAGTAGAGCAGAAGTCGCTTGCTTGCCGAACCGAAGGGAGGGTAGCCTTGAGACCGGTAAGATCACCTAGGAGACCCCCGTCTCCGAAGACTAACCCGATAAGTCTTTCCTAGTAAGTGAAAATTTTGATGCAGTGCTCCGAGAGCTGCTAATTCAAACACTTCAAGGCCATCGCGATGTCTTTGCCTGGTCCGCTGTGGGATGTCAGAAAAACCGACTGGCGTTGCTTGTTAGCAATCGAACGTCAGCCCTATAGTCTGATAAATCAGGCAGAAGACGGGGAACTCGACGATCGCACTGGTTGGACCCACAAGGGAAGAGGAGTTGAAACTGCAGCAAGTGGGATGCATCTGAGTTGTGCAGTATCCCTCATGACTCTCGAACATCATCATGGTCCAGAAGGTCAATTGGAAGTGACAAATGTGTGTCGACTCACTAATTTAAACACTGCCTGCCCGAAGAATTGCTACCCATTGCGGAGGATCGACATCCTAGTGGACACAACTGTAGGTTATTCCATGATGAGCTTCCGAATGCTTTCTCTAGGTATCACTATATCAAGATGCACCTGGTCGATGCTGAGAAGACCGCCTTTATCATGGTTGAAGATGTTTTTTTTTTATATATATAATGTAATGTCATTTGGGGCCAAAAAAGTTGGGGTAACATACCAACATTTGATGGATGTAATATTTAACAATAAAAAAGAAAAACATATTGAAGTCATCGTAGATGATATCCTTGTGAAAAACTGAACGACATGACAACATATAAAAGATCTAAAAGAAACCTTCCAAACTCTAAGAAAATATAATATAGGTTGAATTCCTTAAAATGTACATTTGGAGCCTCAACTAACAAGTTCTTAGGTTACCTTCTAAGCCCCAAGGGCATAAAAGAGAACTCTGACAAGATCTAAGCCCAAAATTTGAGGATTGGGCCGTGGCGCCAAGATTGCCCGGCCTAGCACAAATAGAAGACCAGCAGACCGCAGAGCCAAATTCGCCTAGTCAAGCACAAATAGAAGACCGGCAGGTCGCGACACTGAGATTGTCTGACTTAACATGAAACAGAAGATTGGTTGACCTCGGCACCAAAATGACTCAGTCCTACCCGAAATATGAATATCACCAGTCATTGCGCCAAAGATTGTCTGGTCAACCACAAAATAAAAGTGTGTATGGCCGCAACATCATAATTCGACGACCTAGCCTAATGTAATAAACCGCAACCAAAGGGTGAGATTCTCCGACCGGGAGCAAAATTGAAGAGTAACTGGCCATAGAGCAAAGCTCGCAACCCATTCTAACCATCTATTTACATACATACAAGATCCTTCGACCAGAGGGATAACCCACGAAAACGAAAAATAATAAATAAGTCACAAGAATCGTTTCTATTCACATATATACTGAGAGAGAGAGAGAGAGAGAGAGAGAGGAGGAGGGGAGAGAGAAAAGGAGAGAAAAACTTGCCCCCTCGGAGCGAGTCTGGGTGTTCTGAGGCTCTTGAATCATTTTATTCTATTAAAAATATACGTTACAAGTGGGAGAGACCCAAAAAGTCAATTTACATGAAAAGTCCTCCTTTGGAAAAAAAGTCAGTCGAGGATAGCCAATTTGACAGACAGACTCAATTGATCAATTATTTATTTAAACATAAATTTTAAATTTTTTTTGGTAAAAGTATACAAATCTCAATGCAAAAAAAATATATTTATACTTGTATAATGCTCTCTCCATAAACATCATTTGAGGAATTCAAGTATTTCTATCCTTTTGTTTTCTTCAATCAGACAAATACCTTATAAAATAAACAAAATCAAATGAACAATTCATAGCATTAACAGTTGAAAGATCTACCCCTTAAATGCAGACATTATTTCACTGAAATAAATAAAAACTCACCGATTTATCTTTCATCAATAAAGCGACCATTAAACCATAACTGATACGTTTTTCCAAACTTAAATTAAAAAACAAATGAAAGTAGTTCTTAAATCAATTTCGTTCCTAATGAACGCCCCAGCAAGGCATAAATAGCCCTTAATCCCCTGTAAACCGGAAAAAATATTTCATACGGACGGATCATGATCGTAAATCAGGTGATCTATGATTAAAATGTATTTTAGTGGGCTTCACCTAATTTTTTTTTATAAAAAAAAACTGAAATATATCCTGACCGTAGATCACCGTGATCTACGATCATGATCAGACATCGCATACATCTTTGCATGCGGTGTCCGTACGCAATAATTTCTCTAATTACAGACATCGCATGCATCTTTACATGCGGTGTCCGTACGCAATAATTTCTCTAATTACATAAAAATTTCTTGGTATATCTGTAACTTTCCCATTTTTTCCTATTTTGTCCCAGCACAGAACCTTAAAGCCTACCGCCTACTCTCCTGGTACGACTTACGAGTCTCCCCGTCTATGGGGAGTCCAACCTCAGTGCCGTCTTCTACAAATGAACCCTAAGTAACCTCACAACTTGTTAGACCTAGAGGAGGAGCTAATGGCAACCCACGGTGCCAACCTCCGGCAATTCGGCCTTCTCTCAGCAGCGAAAGAAGCAGCAGAAAACGCTCGCTTCCACGCTCGCTCCGCCCGCCGAGCCATCACCCGCTTCGCTCGCCCAGGCGCCTTCTCCTACCCCGCCAATCGCGCCGCTGCAGCTTCCCGCTTCTCACGCAACCTCGCCGCTTTCCGCGGGCACTACTCCCTCCTCCTCTGGTTCTCCCTTCTAGCCTTCCTCTTCCCCTCCCACCGCGCCACGATGCTCTTCCTCATGGTCATCTCCAAGGTCGTCCTCTCCTACGCCGTCCTCCTCCGTCTCTTCCCTCACTCCGCCATCCTCCACCGCATACTCGACCGCCGCATCGTTGCGGGTGTCTTTCTCGTAGTCGTAATGGTCCAGCTCGCGCTTGCGGGAGCAGTTGTTTACCTATTTATCGCGACTGCTGCTGTTGCGCCGATCGTGGTTGCGCACGCCGTGTTCCGGACTGCCGATAGTTCGTTGGCCGCAGGGGCAGGGGAGAATGGCAAACTTGCCGGTGAGACGATTCCGATATCTGAGAAGAAGAACGCCGATTTGGAATCTGGTGGAGGGCAGATTTCCGATCGATCGGCCTAGGGTTTCGTCCGTCAGTATTACGCTAATCTTTATTTTTTAGTGTAACATCTACAAAATCATGTTTTGCTCTTTTTTAGGGAAATTATTTTAGTTTTTGCCTTTATAAAATTATATTGTCCCCCACGAATGCATAGTGAACAACGACTGCTTTACCCTGCGCTTAGCACACACGTTTTCCATTTTCTTTCTCACATGGAAAGAATGCTACAGCCCAACTAATTCTGCTTTTCTTGCAACTTTTGTTGTAGCAGCTAAGGTTTATTCGGTAATTGAATGCTTATGACTTGAGGCCATTTTGCAATATCTGGAGGATTGTGGTTGTAATTTGTATGTTTTTGGCAGATTTAAGGTTTTCTTATTGGAGATAATTTTACATCCGGACAAATTTGCCTCCCGAGTTCAGTGGGAACTTGCCACGTCACAAATGAGCCCCACTGTAGTGCGCTGGTTAGGTGGGTTTTTAAAAGGGTGAAACCCACTTGCCACGTGGCACACTCTCACTGGACTCTAGATGCAAATTTTGCGTCCAGAGTCTCGATGTAAAATTTTTGCTTCTTATTGAGGTCTTCTTTAGGAGATGGATGATGATCTAAGGACTATGACATGATTTATTTTACTTTTTTCATTCTTTTGCAAATGCTTGGGGTTTCAATTATGCCCCTAAACCTTTTTTAAGTCAATTAAAGTCTACTTGATTTAAATGTAGAAATATATAGTGCAACAAATCCAATAAAACCAAATCACCTTGTTAATTGGAATTCATAAGCTTATTATTAAATGAGAGGATGCAAATGGTTTTGTAATATTAGGATTGAAGATAGTAGTATAGCATTAAATATACTTTCATAGGAATTTAGGGCTGGAGGAATCATAAAAATTTACTTGAATAATTATGATGGAATATCATGCATGAACATTCCTCACTTTGATATTTGTGTAGCATGTAACATTAAATATATTTATTTGGGACTTGAAGGATTGCTTGCTTTGGAATATTTAGTTATAAACCTCGTGTGTGATAATGCTTACTAAAGTGAAGGGAAACACTATGACTCCATTCGATATTATTGTATTTTTTGTGTGTTATAGTTTGTTGTGTTGTGTTATTGGGTAAAGCAAATGATGTTTCGATAAAGTATTTTTTAATTTTTATTCTATTGTGCTATAGGAATTGTGGTTATGTAGTAGTTTGGTAAAAACATATAGGCACTGGTATGAGTTAATTGAATGATTGAACTGAATATCATTATGACATATCTTTATAATATAATATTTTAATCATAATTTAGTATGCGAATAATTAAAATAATTATTTCATCCTAAAGGCTTATTCTAAAGCATAATTTATTAATAACTAGCTTTATAAATTAGTATTTATGTTACAAAATGTTAGAAAAAAGAGGGTAATTGTTAGTATTGATCTAACTAGACAAAGTTTTTAGTTGGAATGAAATGGACAATAAACATGTGATGACATAATTTGTACTTGATTTTGTAATTGCATATGGGGTTGTTATAGCAAATGAAAATTTTATGAAATGTGAAGAGCTTTTAATTACTTTCAGAATTGGAGCCATTAAATCCCAAATTAACTTTTTCTCATTTGAAAAGAAAGAAAATTTTCTTGCAACAATGTTATACTGGTTTTCATAGAAGCATGTAGCTTTACTGTAACAAAAATTAATCAAAATGAAATGAGAAGAGTATCAAATTACATTAAAATTTGGAGCCACTAAATCCGAAAAAGCTTAGTTTTTACTCGGAAGTAAAGAAAAAAATTTAGAAAGACTATAAGGTAATCGTTGGAGAATGTCTGACAATATAACATGAGTATTACTATGGATATATGGCTAAAGGCTCTGAAGAAAATGTTCAAAAAAGATAATTTTCTTAAGAGAAAATGGTGGAACTGAAGGATAAAAAAAGTTCTAGTGAGTATGAATGCTATCTCCAGAGTGCCAAAACTTTGTTGATTTGATGAAGATTCTCACAGTTATAGTGAGTATGAGTGCTCAGGAGAGTTGATGGAAATACTTAAAAAACATTTGCCTCAAAAAGGACGAGTTCAAACTTTGTATCAATTTAACTCATCAGGTGGATTATCCATACATAAAAGAAGATGAATACCAAATGGTGTCTTTGCTTTCGATTTTTTCCCTTCACTGGTCGTAATCTTCCTACTATACGTTATGTTGTATATCGAGTCTTCTGGTTTTGGATTTTACATTTAGGTGATTGCTTGTCTGTTGGGAAATAAAAATTAGATTCTGCTTGATGAAATTTGAAGGTTAGCTTGGATGTGACAAAACTATGAAGGATAAATTCTAGAATGATTATATTAAAATGTTTGTTAGTTTGATATTTATTAAAGTGTCAACTTGTTAGAAAGGGTGTTTGGGACAGTTTTCTCGCAACATTATCTTTGATACAGTTACCACAGATCCGGCTTGTTATTGTTTTCTTGCTGAAAATTTTTGTAGTGGAAAATTATGTTTGAGAGTCTCATCAGCTAGAGTGCTTAGTTGTAAAGAAGCTGTTGTCTGATTTTTTTTTTTAGAAAATATTGATATTACCCATAACACTTTTTAAAAAAGTTCCTTCCCTGTAATAAATTTACAACTATCTTTGTTCTCTTGCAAAAAGCTACATCTTCCTCAATCGAACCTAAAATTTGTTTTAAAGGATCTGAAAGAAAATTGAGTATACATAATGTATCTTGTATGAAAAATAAGGTAGTTGAACATAAATTTTAGGTGGTTTAGGCATAAGCAGTAATGGACAAAAAATGAACCACCAGACATGCAGATAAAATTTGTTTTTAAGGATTAAGATATAAAATGAGCAGGCCTATGGCAGCATGGTAGAAAATGTTGAAGGTAAATGGTGAAAAGTAGGTCTAACACCTTATATGACACAAGTATCATCATTACTTAATGAAATTATTCTAGATTTTTTCTCAGCCTTCAATAGATTTGATGCAAATTAGTGTTCAGAGAAATTGAGATTCATGTTTTTTTTTTTTTTTTGGTTGGATTTTATTTTATTGTGCTTTTATTTTCATTCACTGTGTCTGCAAAAGAAATTCTTATATTTGAGGGATTTTTTAATTGTAATAATAATTTTGTTTTTCAATTACAGCCAATCAAATGGTTAAATCTTGCACATTTCTTCATTTTGTAAAATATATTTTCAATTTTATTTTGGAGCTTGTATTTTGGCTTTTTATTTACTATTTATTTTCCTGCTCGCAATAAGGTACCCGTATGGCCAACTTATCAGAATTTTAAGGTTTTCGCTTATTTGTTATCATTATAATTTATTGTTATTATTATTATTATGGCGCATAATTATAATTACTATTATTATGGCGCATTTAGGTACATACCATCCAATTCTTATCTATTTCCATATCTAACACCTAAATTTTGCTCTTTACATTTATATAGCTCAAACCTTTCAAATCATATAAAAAGTACCACCATTTTAACCTGTGAAAGGTGAATACACCTGTTTTATGCATTTTTATGCATGATAAGGTAGTAGGTACATAAAAATTGAGGAATATGTGTGATGCGTGCTAGAAAATTCAGTGGAGTAATATATTATCGTCTTAGCGTGATACGAAGATTCAACACTTATTCAGAAAAGAGAAAACAACTAGTCGGTACACTAGAAGTTTTTTACGTGGAAAACCTGTAAAGTAAATAACCACAGAGCCTGGTCTAGCTGAAGAGTTTCATCATAAATGATTACAGTTGCAACCAATTTTTCCACAAGCTGGAAAAACTTAGAAAATCTCGCAAGTTATAACGTTGATGTGCGGATAAATTTGTGGTCAGGAACGGGCGGCGACTGATAGCAATCGACAACGGCTGACAAGTGGTTGTCGACGTCAGGTGGTTAAATTGACTATAAGTTTGTTGAAATCTGAGCTCTGCATGACTTTTTATCAATATATGAATATTTCTTGCTCAAAAGATTACTTTGAGATCCGTGCAATGCTTTGAGAATTATACTCCATGATGAGAATTTGCTGATGGCATATAAAGGTGTTGGATATATGTAAATATATAGGAATTGAGTGGTATGTATGTAAAACTTTTATCATTACTTTTTCTTTTATTAAATTAATTGTTGTTGATAATGGTTTAAAATTTCTCAGAGGCGTACAGATACCAGTTTCTATGGTGAAAAAGGTTTGCGAAGTCAGTACGCAGCTCTTCGTCGCTGCTGCATCCATTGATTCACGGCTGCTTAGCAGCATCATTCAAATCATCTTTTTGTGGTCATTGTCTTTTTATATTCATTTCATGTATATTAGACACACATATGCAAGAAAATCTATTAATATTTCTTTATTTAAATTAGCAATAAATTTTTTTCTTATGGTGTAATAAATACCATCTTCTTAATACTTAAAAAGTGAAATGCGTCTTTTGATGCATAGGTGAGATGACATATATATAAAACTTGAAATTTAGGTTTTAGATATGTCAATACACAGGAATTGAAGACGAGCTTGTCGAGATCTTAGGCTTCATTTGAGAAGGCGTCAAAGTTTTGTTCGGTTGGAGTGAACGCTCAGAAATTTTTGATTGGTGAAACAGCAGGAGACGAACATCTGGTGAAGGTCTTTCAGAAGAGCGATAAATTTTCGTTATTTCAAGTCGCAGTTTGTCTCCTTCGGTTCAATGAATGTAACTTTTAAAAGAAATTGTATGAACGATGCTGCAGTTTCAAATGAAGCTTTTTAGTCAACCGGAAGTTTGATTTTGAAAGAGTTGTTCTTCGATGATGATAAAAGGGATCAATACACTTTGATATTTTTTATCTATTTATTTATTATTATTGTTGTTTTATAAATTTTATAAATAGATAAGAATTGTGTCTGTAATGTATCTAAATGCCCCAAAATATAAAAATTATAAAAAGAATTGACTTGAGTTTTCTTGTCTCATATGTTTAGTAGGAAAAAAAAATAACAAAAAGATAATTTTTTCTTTTATTTACATTTTGTTCTTCTAGTTGGATAATGAGAATCTGAATTTTCACTTTTTAAAATCAGAATTACACCAATTATCCTTTTTTTTTTCTGATTTTACTAAAGTAAAATGTATATGAAATTTTCTTAATTCAATCAAGCGAAAAGAGATCCACAGCAAATAAATTATTTTGATCGATTATAATTATTGCATAACACTAAATTTATGAAGGAACATTGCCTTACATACCAACAAATCTTTTCGTAAAAACCTATGGTATATTATTTATAAAAAGATTGCATTATACGGAAAATAGCATACCCCATTAACAAAAATAGTTTCATTAATGAAAGAAGTGCAGGTTTCCTATCAAATTCAAAAACATTAAAGAAAAGCGACAAACACTCTTTAATTAGAAGAGAAAATCGGCAACTCATCTTGCTCTGCTCTTCACCATTCAAGAAGAAACAAAATATTCGGTGCACAAAAAGAAGCCAAAATCCTCTAGTGCTCAGTATCCCATGCCATTTGTGTTTCTAAATCACTAAAGTCTTCCCTCAGCCCACTTCCGTCTTCTGCTAATGAGACGAAGCGCAACATGTGAGGAACTTCCATGTCCAAAGTGTCCACCTGTCCTAGCAGAAATGAGAGGTAGCCACAATACGTGCTTGCAGTGACATTTAGATTGAAGCGCAATCCAAACAAGAAATTCACCTCCAATTCATTCATCTCACAAACACTGATTCCTCCCACAGTCGCAAAGTGCACATTGTCATGGTTACTGCAAACCAACACAAAGCATGAATTTTCTATATTATTTACAGAAAAAATCAAAATTCATGATTTTTAATTGAGAAATTAATGACTAAATTTGTTCTTCTTTTATTTTGTTTTAACATAATATATAAGAATGAGAAAGAAGGAGAGCAAATTAAGGTTGAGAAGACAAACCTCCCATCCATGAATTTGACAGAAGTGAGGATGCTTGTGATGAGGAAACGATGTACATTGCTGGAATCTAAAATGACGGAGGGGTTGAGATAAAGGAATCGGTCTACATAAATGTAGGCAATTATATAGCAACTTAAGCTGCAATCTGTCCAATAAAAGATGTATTCAAGATATCTTTGAATGGAGAATGCTGGGATAATTGGGCTGGAGAAGGTCTCTGCTGCTCGTGGGGGCTGGCGATTCTGCTCTTGAGAAATTGCGAGTTCATCGTTTCGTTTGGCCGTACGTTCAAAGAGAGCCGAGAGGATGTTTATTACAAGAGGCATTTTGTTCTCACGCTCTACTATTGCCATTGCTGGACCCGAAGCTATTCTTCTTCCTCTTGAGTGCGAGAAGGCGAGTTTCAGTGTTTGAGAAAATTTTTGCTTTTGTGGAATTGTGGGCTGTTAATTGAGGAGACGATGACAGTTATATATGAAGATGAGATTGCCATATATAATGCCATGTTTATTTTTTTTAAAGATAAATTATAAATTAGGAAAGCGTTGATTTTAAAACATAAAGCGTTGATATTTTGAAATAAATTAAGAAAACGTTGATTTTTTAAATTTTTTTTTTTTTAATGGTTGGGAATCTTAGCATGCAATAATAATAAATAATCTCTCATGCAGATTACATGCGTTGCATAAAGCGTTTGTATATAAGTTTAGGGATATATTATTATGTATTCTAGTAGAGCTAAATTCACCGTATCCTTGCAGCTTCAACGGTGAGAGGGACCTTTCATTCCACAAAAAGCCGACTAATATTGCAAAATCCATCCTTGGGCTTTGAAATTACTTAATTCCTCCTTGCTTTTTTCTTTTTCAGCCTTTCCAAATATAAAGGGAATGTTTTTACTTTTTTTAAAGAGTTATTCCAAAGACATAAATGTTAGCGCTCGAGGCCGCGTCGCGAATCGGCGCCAACTCTCGCTCCCTCTTTCCCGATCGTGAATCGAAACTTCCCGCTCCCGCTCCTGCTCTTCCGTTCGCGCGACCACGTCCCTATGGGTATAACCCGCTCATGTCTGTGAAGCGAAGCATCCCTTCGCTCCTTTTCTGTTTGTGATAAAAGGCTTTGGATGGCTCTCCTACGGTTAACGAAGTCACGGCTTTTTTCTTCGGGCTTCCTCAGGATAGAAGGAATGAAGGTGCAAGAAGTAGTTCCTTGCGGTGAAGGAAGAAGAAAGAAGAAGAACAAAATTGTTCTCCCTTGGCTTCTTTTTGGTAGCTTGTGGCTGAAGAGAAATTGTGTTTATTTCTCTTGTAAGTTTATTTCTTCGGTGTATCTCGGTGTAGAGTTTCTTCGGTCAGAGAGAGAAGAAAAGATAGAGCTACGAAGGATGACAGATTCCTCTTGTAAGTCGAGGTGATCGACTGGTGTAAATTTTTCAAGTAGTAAAATCCTCTGCAACTCCGTGGATGTAAGCAATTTGTCGAACCACGTAAATCTAAGTGTTCCACAGTGTTGTTCTTTTTTTGTGTGATTTTTCTCGTTCTATTTTTCGCTTTGTCGATCGTTCTCTTGTTTGATTTATATATATACCACAACAACTGGTGTATCTAAAGATCTCGCAACAATAATAAAATGAAAAATAAATAAAAATAAAGAGAAATTTACATATATATGGAGCACACGATTCTTATGTATATAAATGTAATGCACCTAAACTTTCATATTTACATATATATAATATTTAAATGCCATAAGCCTATATATGAAAATGATATATTTAACTTTCAAAATAATTAATAATACTATTTTTAACGTGATATTGAAGATTTTTGTGCTATAATAATTGTCTTGGTATGATATATGTATATACATAAGAATTGTGTGTAATCTATGTAAATGCCCCCAAAATATAAAAATTATAAAAAGGATCGAGTTGAATTTACTTTTGTCTCAAATGCATGGTAGAAAAAAACTAATAAAAAGATAATTTGTTCTTTTGTTTGGATTTTGATCTTTTATTTGGATGATGAGAATTTGATTTTTTATTTTTTTTCTTAGGATTGAGAATTACATCAATTATCCTTTTTTTTCTGACTTTATTAAAGTAAAAAGTATATGAAATCTCCATAATTCAATCAAACAAGAGAGATCCAAAGCAAATAAATTATTTTGGTCAACTCCAATTTTCACATAACAGTAAATTTATGAAGGAACATTGCTTAGCATGCCAACAAATTTACCATCTTTTCGTAAAAACTTATGATACATTATTTACAAAAAGATTGCAATATACGGAAAAAAAACAGAACATCATAACATAAGAAAAACAGTGGAACTGAACTTTGCAATATGGCATCCCCATTAATAAAAAGAGCTTCATTAATGAAAGAATCGCAGGTTTCCTATCAAATTCAAAAACAAAAAATGTGAAGCAACAAACGCTCCTTAATTAAAAGAGAAAATAGAACTCTCCCCTTCACCATTCAAGAAAAAACATAATATTCTGTGCAAAAAAAGAAGCCAAAAACCTCCTCTAGTGCTTAATCTCCCATCCTATTGCTGCTTCTAAATCACTAAACATCTTCGCTTAGCCCACTTCCGTCACTCGCTAATGAGACGAATTGCAACAAGTGAGGATATCCAATGTCCATAGTGTGCGCCTGTCCTAGCAGAAATGAATGGTAGCCGCAATAGGTGCTTGGAGTGATATGTAGATTGAAGCGCAATCCAAACAAAAATTTCACCTCCAATTCATTCAACTCACGAAGACTGATGCCTCCCACAATCGCATAGTGTAGATTGTCATGCTTACTGCAAGCCAACACAAAGCAAGAATTTTATATATTATTTACAGAAAAAAATCATGACTTTTAATTGAGAAATAACTAAACAATTTTTTTTAATGTCATATATATATGAATGAGAAAAAAAGGAGAGAAAATTAAGGTTGAGAAGACAAACCTCCCATCCATGAATTTGACAGAAGTGAGGATGCTTGTGATGAGGAAACGATGTACATTGCTGGAATCTAAAATGACGGAGGGGTTGAGATAAAGGAATCGGTCTACGTAAATGTAGGCGATTACATAACAACTTAAGCTGCAATCTATCCAATCAAAGATGTGTTCGAGATATCTCTGAATGGAGAATGCATGGCAAGTTGGGTTGGAGAAGGCCTCTGCTGCCCGCGTTGGTCGGCGATTCTGCTCTTGAGAAACTGCGAGTTCATCGTTTCTTTTGGTCGTGCGTTCGAAGAGGGCCGAGAGGATTTTTATTACCAGAGGCATGTTGTTCCCGGGCGTTGCTACTCCCATTGCTGGTGCTGAAGCTTTTCTTCTTCCTTTTGCGTGCGAGAAGGGTAGTTTCACTGTTTCTGAAAATGCCTACTTTCGTGGAATCGTGGGTTGTTAATTGAGGAGACGGTGACAAATATACGAGATTGCCATCTATAAATGCCATAATTATCTTTTCTGTTTGTATTAATAAATTAGGAAAGTGTAGAAGGAATAAGAGATTATGTTTTGCAATTCTGTGAACCGCAAAATATTGAATTATGGGTTGGCCCTATATTTAGAAAATAATGGGTGTAAGCTATGTAGTTTTCCTAAAAAATTATTTGTCACCGCATTTTCTATTTAATTTTAGGGGCATTTCATACATACCACACAATTCTTACCTATTTTTATATTAACATTTTTATTTTTCTGTTTACATGCATGCCACTCAAATTTTTAATATTATATAAAAATGTCATCTTTATTATCTTTAAAAAAAAAATAGAACTTTTCATATGTTTATGACCCTAAAATGTCATAAATACAAATATCAAGTTTTAGGTGTTTGATATGTAAATATATAAAAATTATGTGATATATATGTGCCGAATCATGAATCGTCTTTCGTATTGTTAGAGAATTCCCAGTAGAGCCGAATCATAAATCGTCTTTCGTATTGTTAGAGAATTCCCAGTAGAAAATTAGGGGGAAAAGTTGGTTTACTCATTTTCTGAGCCCCTATTTATATGGACATATTTGTACACTTATAGAAAAGAGAGAATGATTAAAAAAAAAACTGTCCTTAATACAATTAATTCGCTAATTTTATATCAGATTTGTGTCACAATTAAAATGTAATACAATTGTTCTTTGTTGATCGACAAATTTATCTTTTTTTCTTAAGACAAAAAACAAGTGTGGCTGCGCGATACTGCTTCAATGCGTTGATTTTTTGAAATATATTAAGAAAGTGCATAGGAAATCAGAGATTATGTTTTACAATTCTGTGAACTGCAAAATATTGAATTATGGGTTGGCCTTATATTTAGAAAATAATAGGTGTAGCCTGCTTTCCTAAAATTTCATATATGACCAATATTAGTCACCTAAAGCGTAATGTTAGATATATATCAGATCATATGTTTAATTTTAGGGTCATTCCATACATACCACACAATTCTTAGCTATTTTTTTTATTAACGTCTTAATTGTTATGTTTAAATGCATAGCACTAAAATCTTTAACATTATATGAAAAAGTATCACCATTGTTTTCTCTTGAAAAATCTAAATCAACTTTTCGGGCACATGTTTATGACACAAAATATAAACATCAAATTTTAGATGTCAATTTCAATAATAATAATAATAAATAGCAATGAGTAAATAAATTATTTAGTAAAAAATTTCATCTTTTTAGAGATATCAATAATCGCATCTATTTACTTAATGATTATTTCCCTTAATCACATCCATTGTAACGACACGACCAAACAAAAATTTACTTGACATCCAAATTACCTTATTCATTAATCAGTGACCCTGATATGACATGGTTGGTCAGAAAAAAACATTAAGGAATGTTTTTAACCCTTCATAGGCACATAATTACCGAGTTCAAAAACATTAAATATACAACCTGAAAATTTATTCTCTCCCTTAGTGTGTAATTGTGTATAATTTACACAACCATTTAAAACAAGTAGATTTGGGTTCAATCATCTCCATCATCACCTCGAAACCACGGAAACTTCCCCCTCCAAGTATTCGTATCACCGCCCCTACCACCACCACCACCAAAACCAAAACCAAAACCAAATCCATGGGCTCCCCTGCGAGCTCCATTACTATCACTACCAACTCCACCTCGACCGCCACCACCACCGCCACCTCCACCGCCGGAACCCGAGCCAGTCCCGGATCCAAAGCCGAATCCAAAGCCATGACCGCTACCACTTGGGGACTCCGCAGATCCCGAACCATAACCCCAACCGCTCCCAGGACTTGAGCCCCATCCCCAGTTATAATCCCAGCTGCCACCGGGACTAGAGCCATGGCCCGAACCAGAGCTGCCATCTTCAGCCTTCGGTGGTGGCCGAGCCGCCGCCGCCGGAGACTCGGCTTCTAAACCGGCATCCGATTCTTTTGTCAGGCAATTGCTCTCAGTTTTACATGAAACAGTGCATCCAAAAACAGCAAGCAGAGAGATGAAGAGAAATGCCTGCATTTCAGTTTTGTGGAGGTGTAATTATGAATTTTACATGGATTTATAGGACTAGTGACTGAGAAAAAGTTGTCATGGATTTTGAGAGGATGCCTTCTTCTTTATGGAAAGTAGGCGGATTGAGAATAAGCTATCCGTGAAAGCAATGGGGTTGATTTCTGGCTGTATTGTGCTTTCTTTTATATATTCCACCACCGCCCTGCGCCCACCCAATTAAGGCCTGTCTTAATTACCTTTATTTTTTCGTTTTATCAAGCCGTAAAATTAGACTAATGGGGCCAGAAAATGTATATGTGGTGGATATCTGGAAGTATTATTTTGTCGCAATTGAATGTAGTGGACAGTAGGTAGGTAGTATGACATTAATGATTAGTTGATTTTTTATGAAAAACAGGCGCCACTTTAGATGCATGGAAGAAAATTTGGACAGTTATAGAAGGTGATGTAATGATGTTGGTAGTTTGCGGTTGGAATAGATTTTAAGAAAATTTAGCCGATGTTTTTCTAATGTTCAAGTGTGTGTATGTTTGACTCTCTCTCTCTCTATGTATTTGTATAAATTCACCCAATTCTTATGATTTTATCTATCTTTACTCCCAAACTCTCATTCTTACAAATCAAGCACCTAACTTATGGATTTCACCGCTCCCTAACAGTAAAATCCACATTTTCAATAAATAGGTTGGGTGCTTGGTTTGTAAAAATTAGAGTTTGGATGTGAGATAAATAAAACCATAAGAATTGGGTGTTGTGTATGTACGAATCTCGAGGATGTCAAACGATTCAGAATGAAGAAAGTACAATAAAGAAGGGTGCATCAAAAGAAGACCAAGAGGCTTCACTTTGTCGATTGAATGCAGCCATTCGAGTCAAGGACAAAGGTTAACTGAGGCTGGAGAAGGACAAAAAGAACAATCTAGGTCTAGATTAATCGGACTTGAACAGATAGATCGACACCCAAGCTAACCACTAGAGGAAAGTCGAGTGAAGGTATCCACCTACCTCTCAGCAGATCCATCCCAGGGCGAGAACATGATTCATTGTCATCACTAGATCTCCCACAGACCCTTCCAAGGATTCTTCTCAGAGACCAAGAATTAGTTATATAATAGAGTCTCACACTCATCTTGAATGACCTCTCTCATTAAGGGATGAGTTATTTATTGAGTTACGGCGATTCACCCTCAACTCGATAGCCCAGTCACGTTCTAGAGAAATGTAATATCACATATTATATCATCTCATATAAATAGGTTATAGGGAGGTCATTTTATGAGGAATGATTAATAAACAAGACGTTTTACTGTTTGTTTTTTCTCTCTGCCTCTCTATCTTTTTCATTTTTATGTTTTAACCCATGGTGTATGATTCAAGGACAAATGAGGATTCAACATATATATATATATATATATATATATATATATACATACATTATATATATATATATATATATATATATATATAATCTAATTTTTAGTTATGGTAATTGTAAATATAACATTTTATGAATTTAAATATTGTTATTATAATTTTACGTGCCTCATTGGCTCGACTGGTCGTCCCGATCTGGTTGATTGACCACATTGGTTTCATCTATCACCCCTACCTGGTCAATGGATCACATTAGTCTGATCGGCTGCCCTAGCCCGGCCGACCGACCATTTAAGTCTGACTTGCAACCCTAGCCCAGCCAACCAACCACATTGGTTTGACAGGTCGATCGGACTCGGTCGACCGATCACTTAGGTCTGATCAGCTGCCTTGTCTCAGTCGACCGACCAAGTAGGTTCGATCGGCTGCCCCGGCCAGGTTTACCGAACACGTAGTTTTGATCGACATCCCTGGTCGACGAATCACGATGATTGACCGTCCACCCCAATCTGATCAATCGATCATTTAGGTTCGACCAGATGCCTCAGCATGGTCGATCAACCACTTAGGTCCCATCGGTCGTCCCAACCCGGTCTATTGATCAATTTGGTCCAATTGGCTGTCCTGACCCGATCGACCAATTACTTTAGTCTAGCCGGACACCTTAGCCTGACTGAGCCCGTTGGTTACGTTGCCCCGGGTTGACCACCTTGGTCCGCCCAGTAGGTCGTACAATCGATTCCACTTGCATAGTGTGTGTTTTACATGTGCATTAGTATTGATTACATGACCTTGCATTAACACATTCGTCATTTGCACTCTTGTCGTGCACCTTTGAGCATATACCATCATATGCTCGCGACTAGTATCTGTGTCTCACAACTGCACAAGTGGTTCACACTTACACCTGTGCACTTCCACATGATTGTTTTGTATGAAATTTTGAATGCCTATGACATATGTTTGAAGTTTTGAATTTTGATTGGTGTCCTCATGCACTTAACCTACACATTCGCATATTATGTGACCACACAACTTGCACAAGACTACCCAGTGTGAAATCCTCCCCAGTGAGAATTACTTCACCTTCTCTTCTTAAGACATTGCATCAGACTGTCGTAGGTCATCATTTGGGTTGTTGCCTCCAAGGAACTTCTACCGTTTTGGGTCACTGCCTCCATGACACGCCCATCATTTAGTTTACTGCCTCCTCGAAATGCCCACCCTTTCGGGTCACCGCTTCTATAACACACCTATACTTTGGGCCGCTACCCCCTCGACACTCTCACCCTAATTTTGATATTATATAAACCAGTGGTTTTGATAATTTTTTAGATGGATCGGTTGTCTGTCCCTCACCTCAATTTCAAGATATAATTCTCCAGTTACTCATAATCCCCAATTTCTCGGCTAGCAACTCATTGATAAAAAAAAACTATCCACAATCATTTACTCCACCATTTCACTCACAATTCTCTCCTACATACTCAATTTTAAATCTACTACAAACATTTGACTTTAATCCACCAATCGATCGATGGTTTTTCAACTGAGGAATAAGTTACATCACATCTCCATGAAGGATCATAAGATGTCGCAATATATTTTCATGATCAAATAATTAGTGGACAATATTACTTAGTCGACAGTCACTTTAATTATGACGACATCTTCCTTCACACTCTTAATAGTTTATCACCTTCCTATCTGTCTTTCTCAATGACCATTCGTACAAGATCTAAACCTACTAATCTAGATGACTTATATTCTTTGTTATGTGGTGAAGAAGTCAATATTTCAACAAAGAATGCAAAAGAAACTAATTACACCATCATTGCTTGATACACCTCATGATCTGGAAACAACAACAACAATAATAGAGACTACGATAAATAATTCAATACCATTAGAGGAAGCAACAACACTCGAGGTACGTTCACTTCATCTATAGGAGGTAGAGGTTTAGGCAATACTTCTTCTTGCATCACTTGTCAAATTTGTGAAAAATTAGGTCATGCAATAATAAACTGTTGGCATAAAGCAAACTTCAACGATTATCCTTCCACCAAGGCAGAGATAGCTCTCCTAACATCCACAAATCTTATGTTAGTTGAATGGTTGTTAGATTCAGGGACCACCACATAACTTACATCTAACTTCGAGCAAATGTAGCTTGCCAAACAGTATCATGGAAAATGACATGGTCACCATTGAAGATGGCTTTACTCTTCAGATAACTTACTTTGATCAGGGTCTACTCCTAACTCCTCAATGTAAGCTTCACCTCTCTAAACTCCTAAATTCTCAATACCAAGCTCACAATATTCTTTTAGTTCACCAACTCACCTTTAATAACAATAAATACATCTTATTTAATAAATCTGGTTTTCCTGTTATGGATCGGAGAACAAACAAAATCCTGCTTGAAGGATCTAGAAAAGATGACCTCTACCCCATTTGGCCTTTTCTGCTAACCAAACTTCATCATCCTTACGTGAAATTTAATACGTAAGTTTGGGACATACTCATTATGCAGCTAATAAAGCTATTTCCCAAACAACTAATACTCTAGTTATTCCTACTTCTTATTTTTTCAATAACGAATGCAAGTCATTGGCAGTATTTTACTTTTTTTGTTTATAAATCCAAATTTCTTGTTTATCTAGTTCATGTTGATGTATGGGGTTTAATATCTTTTATTTCTATCTAAGGCTATATATATATATATAATATATATATATATTATATTTTTCCTGTTGTTAATTATTCCCATTACACTTGGGTGTTTTCTATGCTTGCAAAATCCGAGATCACAAAATATTTCAAAACTAATTTAGTACAAACATAAAGTCTCTATGCTTAGATGGAAGGGGTAAATTTACATCCCCATATTTGCAAAACTATCTAAACTCTCATGGCATACTCCATCAATTTAGTTGTTTCTATACACCCCAAAAATTTTGGGCGGCTAATCGTAAGCATAAACATTTTATTGAAACAACAAGAACCTTACTAATCATTGCTCATTACCTCCCAAAATTTGAAAGGTTTATCTCATGACAACCACATATGTCATAAATTGAATTACTTTTAAAACCACTCATCTAATATCTCCATAGGAAACACCACACCAAACTCCAATGGTTTATTGTCATCTCCACTTTTTTGCCTACCAATGAGTAGAAACAATAAACCTTACAAAAACCACATAGGAAATACCACACCAAACTCCATAGGACATACCACACCATACTCCACTGACTTACTTCCATTTCCACGTTTTTGGCTACCAACACTTTCAAATTGGATAATGTCTAAACACAACGCAAGGTGGTTGCTCTGAGATCTAAACAACTGGAAGATACAAAAAAACACTCCAAATTTCAACCCTTTAGCCAAATTACCTACAATTCACATTCTTTTCACAATTGTTCTCCAAAATTAGTGGCGAATTCATCAATTAGATATGACGAAGGCATTTCTCCAAGGCTCCTAGGAATGAATCATCTATATGTATCATCCTAAGGGTTTTAAATATCACCAATACTCCAACTGAGTATGCTTGGTCAAAAGGGCACTCTATGGTTTCAAAGAAGTGTCACAATAGTGGTATCACACTTTTATAAATCACCTTCAAGCTAAATACTTAAGCCTCAACATGGCAGACCCCTCCCACCTCATCTTTAAAATTATCAGGTCATTATATACTTTCCTGTCCGTGTAGATGACATCCTCATTAACAAAAAAACGATCCTTCGACACTCCCAAATCTCATTCTTGACCTTAAATTCAAGTTCAAACCAAAAGAGTTAGGTCATGTCTACACTTTTCTTGGCATAAGCATTCAACACACACCACAGGGTTATCAACTCACCCAAAAACTTCTTTCCTACAACTTGACATGCTCTCTTCCAAACTTGTCATTGCTCCCTTGCTCATAAACTCAACCATAATCTCTACTCTCAACAAGAGCACCCCAATCCAACCTAATATAGGCAACTAGTTGGCTCGCTCCAATATCTCAGCATCACTCAGCTTGACATACATTTGCTATCAATTACAACTATCTGCATATGCACCATCCACTACTCTACCATTTTCAAAACTCTGACACCTCCTCTGTTATCTATAAGGAACACTTCATTTTGGCCTTTCACTAATTATGGGTGATCTACAACTCAACTATTATTCCAACTTGGATTGGGCAAAAGTCTTACGACGTTGTCACTGTACATCTGGATTTGACATTTTTTTTGGCATAAATTTCAATTTTTTGGATTGCTCACTTTCAAAAAATGGTCACAAAAATCCCCTATCAAAGTTGAATATCACGCCTTGATTGCTGCCACCAAAGACATTCTATAACTTTGTGGATTACTTCATTAGTTCAATATTGCTACCACAACACACATTCTTGTCTACTCCGGCAACACTTATGCAAGTGTCATTGCTCTCAACCCAATCTTTCATGCTCGCATCAAACATGTGGAAATTGAAAGTCACTTTATTCATAATCATACCAGTTCAGGTGACATTCATATTCCTCACAAATCAAATCCTTACTTAGATCAAGTGATTGATATTTTCGCTAGAAGTCACAGAGCTACTTAGTTCGATCGACCAAGGCACAAATTCACGATCAATCCATCTGATTATAACTACAGTAACCATACTAATTAGGACTCACTCACCTCATTCCCTCCAGAAACCTCTTATAAATTTATATTTGATAAATCATGAGATATTTAAATCCTTAAAACTATGTAGTATGATACATATTAAATCTAATTTAATTATGTGAAATTATTTCACAACGTTTGAGGATTTAAATTTATAAGTTAAAATATAAATTTAATATTATATATTTATGATGTACCAATAAAATTTAATTTAATTTTATTTCTAATTATATTAATAAATAATTTGCTAATTATTAAACTAATTACATATTATCAAGAAATTATTGAATTAATTATTTTCCAAGCAATAATCTTATTCATTAATTAATCATTGATTTATTATTTTTTAAATTAATTAATAATTAATTAAATTTTATAAATTAGTTTGATTTAATATATAATTTAATTCACATTAATTAACTATAAAATAAATATATATAAATCTTTATAATTATAATTAATTTGATATACAATTGAAAGAATTATAAGAAAATAATAATTAACTTAAGAACTTATTTATTGATTATTAAATATTACTTAATTAAATTAATTAAAACTAACTTAAATAAAACTTTATTAAATCCTGAAACCTATCTGAAAACTTCGAAAAAATATTGCATCAGGACTCCACATCTAGAGTTACTTGCGGAGTCCAATGAAATTAGACCAAGTGGAGGTGACAAAAAAAAAAAATCCCATAACACAAGAATATTCCCCTCATGTTATTAGTGTTATTAAGATGTTATTGTGTTCTGAGAATATTCTCAGTGTTATAATAACACAATAACACATCAATAACACTTGAATAACACACAATAATACATGAATAACACACAATAACACATGAATAACACGAGAGTAATATTTGCTTGTGTTACCAGATAGATTTTATTTTTTATTTTTTTATCACCACTATGTGACTTGATTTGATGTGATTGGACTCATAACTCTAGCCGTGGAGTTGTGGAGTCGTGATTCCTTATTGCAATATTTTCTCGAAAACCTCGCTTACCCCTCTCTTCTCCGAAAAAATATTAACTCAAGAGTATTCATCTATCAGTAGTACTCCAATAAATAGATATCACGTACATAATAGTTCCACCATAATACCACTTGATTTGAATAGTTTTAAGCTATTTTTCCTCCTCTCCTGGTTTCGCTGGATACCATCGCCTCCTTTCGCGTCCGAAACCCTCGCGGTACAGTCGCAGCAAGGAAGGCAACGATGGGATTGCGGCGTACAAAGATGTCGGAATCTCCCGTATAACTGCCTTTTCTACTCCGCTCCAACCCGTCAAACCCTCGTCTTTCTCCTCCTTCCTCACAGTTCCCGCAAATCCACCTTCCAACGAGATTTTCTAAATCCGGTATTTAAGGCAAAACGGTGGAGAAACGGGATGTAAGATGCTGTAGGATTTACTAATTCCTGCTACCAAACAGCCACCGAGCGAGCGTGACGCGTCCACCCTGTGCGTAGTCGAAACTCACAAATTGCAGCAACGCACCAATATTTTCTCGCCTTTGTCGTTAATTTATTTGAGCGGACAGAGTTGGGCAGACTAATCATATTTTACATCTGACGCAGCCTTCAATCTTGGCCTATGTAAGCCAGCAAAGATGGAATGGAATGACTCCGAGAGGAAGACCTCATCGTCATTAGGCTACAAGCTCGTCCCTTGGGTGAATTGGGACGAATGGAACTATGTCAGGAGATCAATTTTCTCATCCTCCCCTAACTTAATCTCTGCGGCTCTTCAGAAGGCAAGAAGCCACCATTGCTAAAATTTTGTCAATTTCATGCTCAAAATCTTAAAATCTTTGCTTAGATTTTAAGTTACTGATTGCTGTCAACCCTGCTTTTGCTTAGATATCAGCCTGGGAAAGCAGAGGTTGCCTGCCTATTGCAATTAATTTGACAGCTGTAATTATCGAAATTCACCAGAAAGATCCATTTTTTAGGTATGAAAATTTGTCATACTTGAAAATTTCATCAACATGAAAGCTGAATTTTAGTGTCTCTAATTTTCTTTTATGTGCTGTACTTGTAGAAAAGATGGTTCCATTGGTGATGCTCTTGCCTCCGAGAAGATGCTAAACATGTTATATTGCATGTTCATCTTGAGGTGACTTTGAAGTGCTTGCATTAAATTTGAAGATGCCGCATGCTTTAATATTTTCAGATAAATTTAATCTGTTGTACTTTACTTCAAAATTTCATTATCATGGATATCTTCTTGATGCAGTATTACTTTCATTTACTAGCAAAGGATTCCCAATAGGAACTTTATTTAATTGACATAGATCTCAAGGAGAACATCAATCTTGATTACTTCGAAAGATTGACACGGGATACATGATTTGCAAGATTGCTAATCATGAAGGTTGGATCTTTTTTGGTAACAATATTTTTCTCTTATTTTGTTTGGTGCCTCAGACCATCCTGCTGATATCCATGCTACGGCTTGGCCTAATAATCGTGAAAACTTAGTATTTGACGAAATAAAAATATGAAAAAAAAGAGTGGAGATGGGCGCAACCACATTTTTGCATTTACATGATTGTCGCAAAATATGGTTGTATTTTTTTTCCATTACCCTCACTTCACCCTCTTAAAATCAATGATGTATATTTGCAGTCACAACTACAATAAATCTATTCAAGGTGACAAATTCTATTGCTTCACTTAAAACTGAAGACTAAGTTGGAAAACTCTAATTTGTGCGAGTCATTTAGCATCATTGATATGCTAACATCTTTGCTCTACTTTTATAGCAGATTTTATGATTGCTATAACAAAATAAGGATACCGACAAGCCACCTTAGAATGAGTCTTTCTAGGCCCAAACATTAGCCTCCAAGGTTGGTGGGGGAGGGGCGTGGACTGGAGGATGACTTTTTGAATCGGATTAATTGTGGAAGTAGAGAGAAAGTGAGGTCTTTGGTGACTTAAAGTGAGGTTGGAAGAGGGAAGGGGAGAGTGTTGCGGAGTCAACTCGACATCTTAATATAATAGTAATTATAATATTGAATTGATTTAGAATAATGATGTGAAATGCTATGGAATTTGTGTAGTTTTTATGCAACCTAGGTTTTTTTCAAGCGGTCATGTAATGTAAAGATTTTCATGTATTATGATAGCAATAACCATTTAGGATGATGATAAGATGATCAAGGAAAAGCATATTTTACTTTGAAGTGGAACAAAAATAAATTAAGGTATGTTGCATTCAAGCCTCCCTTCATGCTCTTGTTGGATCAGTTAAAGAGAGAAAATATGAGCATATAGATAAAATAAAAGAGAGGAAAAGATTCCTTTTAGAGAATTGGAGATATAGGATAGAAGAAAGGCTTGTTTTGCCACTCCATCAATGGAGTAGTTGACACTCTCAAGGGATGAGGGAGGACTAAGAAGCTAGAATAAGAGAGACTATTTGCCAATTAACTTGAAATTTATTCAAAATTTTTCAAGGCCTTGTTACAAATTCTATTTATTTTAATAAGAAAGTAAAAAAAAATTACATGAAAATTCAAAATTGGCCTAATAGTAGGACTCATTTTGAAAATAATAAGATAGGATGATTCAAAGCCACTCTAGTTAAGCCATTTGATCCTAGTATTTTTATTTAAATGTATATCATATTTATTTTTATTATTGAAAGAAAAATTTGCAGATAGATTAAGTGGTTGTTTGGTTGAGTGTATTAGTTCAATGCACTTGAAATATAGGGATTTGACTATAAACAAATACTTTATAAAATTTTCAATGATTTTAGAATATAGCATTATAATATTTTCAGTATTTTCAAAATTTACTTGATTTGGATGATTTTGGAATACAAGGAAGTTGGGAGATCATGTAAATCCCCACATACTTTCGGGACCATCTTGCTTACGTTCATCACTTTGTGAAGTCCCTCACTCATAGTTGTCATTGTTTGTGACCGTCACTCGTTGAATCCCATCTCTTGAGATCATCATTGTTTGTGATTGTTTCACGCCAAAACTCTTAATTGAAATTGTCTCTGCTCGCGACAGTCCTTTGCCAAATTTAGTCCCTCTATCTATTTACCTACAATAGCTGCCCCAAAAAATCCAACACAATCATCTTGCTCGTTGTCTTACTGTTTGCACCGTACGCTATCATAATTGTATTTGCTTGCTTTTGACAAAAATCTAGAGGTAAAATTTCAATCAAACAAACATTAAAAAATTCGTGAGTTTATTTTATAATCAATCAAATAGTTAAATGAAATATAAACACAATGTATTTGATATATGTTGTATTTTAAATTTCCAAGTATTCTATATACTTGCAAACAGATAATCCCCAAGAAAATATTATTTGTCCTCGTATTTTAAAGGAAAAATATTATTTAAAAAATTGTTCTAAGCCCATGCCCCGAGTCTCCCAAACTAAGATTCACAGAAAATGTCTGAAGTCTAATCATTTTCTTTGGCAGAGGCTTACACCTTGAGGCATTTGCGGCAACGCCTCAATGTGGGTTTATAAAAGTTTCTTATGTTATATATATATATGTATATGAACCTAATATAATCGCTTAGTCTAATACAATATCTTGAAATTGGGGTTGCGTGGTCCATGATCAGGAGCCACTAGAGGTAGGAAGATTAGGAGTCTTTATGGTTTAGTGCAACAACACTTGGTCTTTGAGCTAAGTAAAAGAAATGGAAGTTCACTGAGTTGGAAGCAATTGCAATCAGGGTTCTTTTTTATGTAAGTCTTTTTATTTTCTTTTTTTAGCACTACTTTTTGCTTATGATTATTATCTTTGAGTTAAAATATGGTTTGTTATAGTTAATTATTTTGTTTATATTACTGGATTACTTATTATTTTCTTCTTAGGATTCCTTTATTTGATATTATTATGCTAAAATTCTACTATGTGATAATTTTATTATTTTACTTAAAAATTGTTCATTTTGCTTTCCTTAAAGAGAACATGATAATTTTTTTTATGATAGAATAATTTATGAATTGACCTTAATTTTATAATTTTTTTAATTTTTTCTTTTTTGGTTTAATTGTTTATGCCTCAACTCCCTAAGGCTAAGTACCCTTGTTTCTGATGTCATTCTTTTAAATTTTAGAAAAAAAGAATAATGCATGAGTCCTTTTATGTGTTTACGTTCCAATAAAATATGATGATGGAGTGAAACAATGGCCATCTATTTGCTATTACAAGGTCTCTTTTTTAAGAGAATCTTCCATGATAATAGGTGGGAAAAGTTATTTTAACAGCCTGGCGAACAATAAATTGATTGCCTACAAAGGTCCTCAAGTTCAAGTGCTCTACAAAAGTTCTAATCTAATTATTTTCTTCCCAACACCTCAAATAATTTTTACAAAAATATTTGAAAGCATTGTTTTTGTTCATATTAATCCTAAGATAGAGAAAATTTTGATCCATGAGCATTTACTTGTGTTTATATTACTCTCACATAAGAAAATACAAATGTTATCATACCCCATGATAAATGCGTATTTGTTTGTTGATATCATTTTTAATAAAGAATATCTCTGGTTTGTTGCTACTCAACCCAAGGAAGAAGTAACATATTCACTAATAAATTTTCTTTGTAGATTTCCTTCCTTAATAAACAACTCTATTCTAGAGACGACCACTTCTAAGCAAACTGGGTGCGTACCATAGCTGCTTCTTCATTATTGGTGCACTCAAAAAGAAAACAAAAATTTCAATCTAAGCATGTTGGATCAATTAAGTCAAGCATTGCCATTCAATCCACTAATGAAACATTCATCCTACAAATAAAGGTGCAAGAAGTTTCATTAAACAGCCATTAGTTTTTCAATATAAGAATAATTCTCACAGTCACCAATCCTTCCTTGCTGCCTCTTTTAGTATTTTTATTCTTAAAACTTTTTATGATGCTTTAAATAAAGTGAAGTAGAATAATGCTGTAAGAGGAGAAATGTAATGTTAGGTATGACTCATATCTAGGGAGTTGGAGTTTCTTGGTGAAGAGGTGTCTCCTGGTGAAAAAGTAGTGTCTCTTGGAATAAAGGGGGTTGGGAGGAGCGAGGGCGTGATTGTAATTTTATCTGAGGGTTTGTATATATCTATATATATGTGTAACCCTATGGGATGTATTGTAACTCCTCTGAAATAGTGAAACCGCCGCTCGCTCCCGAGGACGTAGGCAATTCTTTGCTGAACCTCGTTAAATCTCTGTGTTTTTTTTCTAGTTTGTGTCGATTTCTGTTTTATTCCGCTTCAATTTCACAATAATTGGTATCAGAGCCTCTTTCGAGGGAATAAAAGGAGATCGACGCAAGAAGAAGAGTTCGGGCGGTTTTGCCGGTTTTTGCGGCAGTTCACAGGGCGTTCGCGCGAATCAGAGTAGCGCGGAAGGAAGGCCGCTGCCTGGCGATCTTCCGCGAACAGGAGTTCAGACAGAAGTTCGCGGACGGGCTTCGACGACAAGGGTGTTCGGTGCTTGCGAATCGCGGGAGAAGGAGGTTCTTCGCGATTAGCGAGCGGACTACAACAGCGACGATTCACGACAGGCCTTTGGTTCGCGGTTTTTCCGACAGGTGGATTCGTGCGCGGCAGTTCTGCGACAGTTCGCGTGGAGGCGGATTCGCGCGTGGCAGGAAGGCAGAGGTTCTTTCGCGACGTTGCTTGGAGGACTCACGATCCGGGCAGTTCTGCGGACAAGAGGCAGTGACGGTTTGCGATGTTCGTGGTTTTCAGTAGGATCGCAAGGCGTTCAGTCTTCGGTAGATCGTTCGCGACGTAAGAGGAGTCGCAGGAGTCTTCTTCCGGATTCGCGATCAGCCTGTTCTGCTTCGGCAAGAATCGCGACAGAAGCCGGGCGAATTCGAAGAAGTGGCTTCGGTTTCGCGATCAGTTCGAGAAGGGCTAACAGGTGCGAGAAAGGAGTTCTGTGCGGCTGCGAAGGACGAAGAGGCGTGAGGTTCGTGAACAGTCGTGCAGTTTTAGGAAACGGAGGAGTTCGACAGATTTAACAATCCGTGGAAAACATAGGCTGTCCACCGCGAACATGAGCCTTGTTTTGCGGAAAATCTGAGAAATTCGACCAGTTAAATTTGTCGGTTCGTCGTAGGAGATTTTGCGACAGG